CGATTCTTCCGGTTCCGACAAATGATTAATACATTATAAAAATACACCCACCTACCAAATTTGATCCGGATATCTCGAAAACTGAGAGACTAGATTGCATACAAACAGACAGACAGACGGACAGACGGACAGACGGACATGGCTAAATCAACTCAGCTCGACGTTCTGATCATATAAGTATACATTTTCATGGGTCTATCTCTTTTTGTTCTGGTACTTACAAACATCGGACCAAAGTTATAATACCATTTCATGCTCATGAAAGGTATAAAAAGCACGAAAAATAAATGAATGTGTATGTGAAAACGCAATGATCGGCTTTTAAATTTTGGAGAAACATGTTTTATAGGGGATTTCCACCAAGCCTTAACTGCAGTTTATGACAATTGGAAAAACGAGATTATCACTCGAACGGAGTAATTGGTCCATATTAAGTACAAGTAAACGAAAGTATGAAAGAAAAACCTAAGAAATAAAGATTGCCAATCACCCCATGTTAAAATAATTGGTACTTATCTGAGCTCTTAACTGCAGTTAAGCTTTTGGTGGAAACAGGCTATTATACTCGATTTCCACTAGGCATTGAATGACAACATTTTTAATGACAATGTTGGGCATTAAAAAATGCCCGTGATATTACGTGCCTGTTTCCGCATGGCGCTTTTTAAATGGCAGACACATTTTGTCATTTTAATGCCTAGTGGAAATTAGGCATAAAAAAATAGAATATCTAAGAATTCTAACAAATCAAATTTTTAAAATAAAATCATTCAATTACGTCTTTAAGACCATTTTAGCTGGGCGAATTTAATTAAAAACGAGTATGAAAGCTATTGGTAGAGATTTTAGCGTTAAATAAATAAAAATATAAACTCTGAAAATTTTTACGCTCATGCCATGTCTAGTGAAAATTTGCCATTAGAAAATATTAGGAAGATGTTCTTAAATTAAGTTTGAGGGAATAAATTCTAAACAAAAACTATTAAAAAATGTTAGAGATGTTGCTGACAACCTAGGCTATAACCAAAATATCAACACAACATATGGTGCATTTCAATTGGGCATTAAATGACAAAACTTCCGTCTTTACGTAATTACTCTCCATGTGGTATTGTAAATGGCACGCATTTTTTTATATATCAATGCTTTGTGAAAATTCGACTAACTGCGCAATTTTAAAACCCACTACGCATTTAAATTTCAAAATGTGCGCAATTTAAGAAATTCCAAGTGGAAACCAACTTAATGACACGGGTATTATTAAATGAACAACTTTTTCTTTAATGTGTTGCGAAAGTGGAAATCTGGCATTATGTAAATAATTCCACAAAAAAAATGTTATAAAATCGCATTTTATGTATTTTTAAATGTAACTTTTATTGCATATTTTAATTACAATCATTAACAACAATATGCCTAGAAATAGTGGCAAACATCTTCAAGTGATTATTTTAGTATCTAGTTGTTTTTTTTTTGTTTTTAACTACTATTTGTAACATTATCATTCTATTCATTGTTATAGCTTTTGGGTTGATATTTTATTTCCTGTTTTATATTTTACTATGTTTTTTATTTATTTATATTTTTTTAGTTTGCAATAAGCGTCGAGGGTCTGTTTATGCGTTTTTACAAAATAACTCAATGCAAATGAAATACATTTTTTGCAGTAACACGCTAATCTTACGCTAGTAATAATTTCATAAATATTGTATATGCATTTATATACTATATACTATATACTTGTATATGTATATTTTAATTTTAGTTTTTTTTTCAATTTTGCTTAGTGCAAAAAATTGATGTGGAAACACCAGCTTTTTTCGTTTGCATAGAGCAAAAAACAACTCTGTTATGGGAATATGTATGTATGTACATATATACACACATATATTTTTTTGGGGAGGATATTTTTCATTACACATGTATATATTTATGTATTTATTTTATTGCCGTATTTTTCATTGAATGCTTACACATTGAGATGCCGATAATTGCTTAAATAAATTTTTAGTTAATTAAATTTAGTTTGTAGTATGTAATGTTAAGGTATTTTGTAAACACATAAGCATATGTACTTGTAGAATTAATGGTGCGATTTAAGGTTATGTAGTAATTTAGCGACGTCTGTTAGTAAGCAGCGTTACATTTCGCGCGGCGAAAGTAGAAGGAGCAGCGTTGCATTTGAAAAAAGTTCAATTATTCACAAGAATGGTTTGCGTTGCGAAAAAAAATGGAAATGGCAAGTTCATTTGAATGAAAGTTTGTATGAAGTTGAGAGAGAAATCAGAGATGAAAATTATTTTTTTTTTTTTATATAAGTTTTTGTTCGGTGTTAGCAAATTTAAGACACACAAAATTTGTGAGAATAGAGTGAACAATGGGAAAAAGAAGAAAAGAGACAAAAACATTTCTTGTTATTAGATTTCTTGTGATGTTAGGATGAAAAAGAAAAAAATTTACAAAAATCTATATACAGCTGACTACTTAATGACCGTTAACATAAAAGTGAAGTGGAAAATAACTTCGTAAAGAACCAAACTGGCTTATATGTATGTATTCCTGACAAAACGTAGTTAATCATAAATTGTAAATACATACATTATAATTATAAAACCAAAACTTCCTCATATGCAAAATGGAGTCTAAACTGCATAGTGAACTGCTTTCATAACGTTAATACATTTTTTGTTTCAAGATAAAATTCAAGTACCCAAAACTGGTTTGAACCACAGCCCAACCAACAAAAATCTTTCGACTGAAAATGATACCTGCTACTGACATCCTAATATTTTTTTGTCAATTTACATATCAAATGTTTACACCTTTTTTTCAAAAATTGTTGATTGTTAAGAAAATTTATCGAATTTTTATAATTTTTGTACAAAGTTTGAAATGTAGATTTATATGGCGTTATAGATTTAGAAAAAAATCTAGATTTTATAAAAAATCATAAACATTAAATAAATAAAAAAAAAGGGTCAAAACTGGTCAAAGTATCGCAATCGTTTTATTTTGTGGACAACTGTATGTACCTGTTAGTTAGTCACATAATGATTTAAATAGAATAAAAACTAAAGATTAAAATTAAATTAAATAAATTAAATTGACACTTTGCTAACATAAACATTATTATTATATAAACGATTTACTAGTATTTTCAGTTTTCTAATAGATTGTAGAATTTATTTCCTTTTCAACAACATAAATAACGAATTTATTAAGAATTAGTATTTGAAGTCATTATAAAACAAACGATTTGTATAAAAAAAATGTAATTTTAATATTTTTTTTTGAAATAAATGTCAATGTATAAAATAAAAAAGGTAAATGTATCAAAAGTAAAGCCGCGCTAAACCCAAGAAAATTACTCCTAAATTTTGTCAAGTGGTATGCATAGTACGATTTCTTTTAAATTAAGCTAAGTGCAAAACCCGATTCCTCGTTTGTATATAAGTAACCAATATACATAGTTGTTACCCCCTATTAGTATTAGATCAGCGTGTGTTTTTTAAAGCGAAAAAGAGGTCCCAATCGTCGATAAATTAAGTTTTTTATAAGTACTTCGTGTAGTTTTAGAGAAAATTACCAATGTTTCTTTAAACTATATTCAGTTTAACTAATGATTCTCACTTCCGTTCGACAGTGCATAAAATAATAACTATTACAAATAATAACTATTACAAATAATAATCAAACAAAATCAAGCAAAGTTCAAAAACGCAAGTAGAAACTACTTCGAATAGAGAAAAAATAAAAATTGTGTACTTACGAAGGTAATAGTGGTGGTGGCAGAGCGCCGCCAGGACGGCCGCCTGGCAATGGTGGAGCACCGCCGCCTGGGCGATTGGGAATCGCTGGCGCTGGACGCCCTGATGCAGGTGGTGGTGGCGGGCCGCGTCCACCGGCGCCGCCCAAAGAGCCCTGCAAAGTAAAATTAAGGAGAAATTTAAAAATGACAAATACATATAGCAGTTTTAATCAGCTTTAGCTAAAAGATAATGATGAATCGATTTGATATTTTTTTTATTTACAAAAAAAAAGAATACTACTTTCTTTTGTCAATTTCTTTATTATTATTGTGTTATTTATTTATTAAATTTTTTTATTTGTTAATCTTTTATTTTTTATATAAGGCCGTAAGGCAAAGTGCCCTAACCGGCTTTTTTGTACTCAACTACTCAAATAGTTTTACATTTTAAATTAAGTTTTTTATTCGTTAGTTTTAAAGTACAAAGCTACATGTACATATAATAAAATTAAGGAAAAGGCTACTTTTATTTTAAAATTGATCTCATTTTAAAATATTTTAAGTAAAAAAAAAAATGTGCGTTAGGCTACTTCTGCTCACATGGCCTTTTTAACCGACTTCCATAAAAGGAGGAGAAATCGGTTTTGTTTTTTGCTTAAAAATTACTTGTATTCATGTATATACGTAATTTTTAATTTTTCTGAACTTACTATTTTTATTAATTTTGTTTTTAATTAAATTCTTCTTAATGTTTTAATTTATGCATGTATTTACTTTTCTTAATTTATTATTATTTTTTTTAATTTTATATTTTTTTAAGCGTTTTTATTTTACCGCATAATTTTTTTATTTCTAATTGTTTATTTGGTAATTGATTCAATTTTTTTTATTTTGTAATGTTAAAATTTTATATTTTGTAATGGTTTAAATTTTATATTTTGTAATTGTTTAATTTTGTATTTTGTTGTTTCATTTTATTTTGTTATTTTTTTATTTTTTAATATCCAAACTTTTTAATATAATTATTGTTTAATTTAGTGTTTATTTCCCAAATCCTTTTATTTTTATCGATCTTTTTAATTTTTTTGTTTATTACTTTTTATTTTTTATTTTTACTATTTTTACTTTACCTGTGATGTGGGTGCAGGTTTGCGTGGACCACCAGGACTGGGTGGCGAGAGACGTGGATTATCCAAGCCGCTGGGCAACCAATCATTTTTAACAGGTGGTGGTAGCGGTGACGACACTGTGGCCATGGATACATCACCTGGAAATATTTCGAATATTTTTTATCAGATAAATTCGGCGAAAACATAGTAAATATATAGTTCGAAAAGATATCCGACGGATGCTATTCACTCGAATATAATCTTTCACACTCGCTTGTTACGACACTGCGAAACGTATTAGATCCGATAATAACAAAAAATGAATAAAAATCATTTCGTACGATTACCAGAACAACGAATATCGAATCGTACGATATTGAAAATTTGGTTTTTCACCTGATATTGATACAAAAAGAAATATTGTCCAAATTATTAAATTAATCATCAATCAATTGGTCACTAGAACACCTTAACCGTTGTTTGGAAATTTTGTATGAAGTCAAAAAACCGTAGGAAACTACTTTGTGATATTTTTTGGATTAGTTGGTGAGGGAATATTTTGATGACTTAAATATTGCAGCCGTCATCTGCTATCAAATGATTGTCTTGAGAAATCATGCACCGCACCCAAATCATATTTTTCCCAACACATACACTAAAAATCGTAGCTTTGATCTCATTTGCTTATGTTTTGAAAAAAATGTTTTTCAATGACGAACTTTGACAATGAAATTCACCCAATAGGTGGCGCTCGAGTCGAGGTATTTTGACAAAGTGGTTGTAAAGACCGTTTTTGGCGCAATTTTGTTACACTTTTCCTCCAATAATCTTGCAATTCTTTATCCTGCTACCTATCTTACCGATAATTCGTAGCGCTTCCTTGCAGGCATGATACATGCGCAGCATCTCTTCACGTTTTGTGGCCGATTCCGCTGATTCTTCCATCATTTGTGCCTGTGAATATTGAAAAGCAGTCATAATGTAAGCATCTGAACTCTTCATTCCACAACCAAAAAAACGCTCACCTGATCTCCAGTGGCATACAAGTGCGCCAACAGCTCGCCGTTGATGAAATCTTTTGTATTGTTAATGATTAACATCATAATAGCTTTCGGTACCATATCACGTGTGGTCTTTGTGACGATCTTCATGTACGAATCTACCAAATTGCGAATGGTTTCCACCTGACGCTCCAGCTGTGGATCCGATGCGCTCTCTTCGTTGGCGGACTACAGTTGCAAAGAGTGTTGCAGCATCGTAACCAAAGCGGGTGAATAATAAAAATTGTTGTGGTAGTGATGGTGTTGGTGGCGGGAACGGTGACAGTAATGGCGAAATATGGTGGTGAACGGAGTTTGTATAAAACGTAGTGTATGTAAACAAGTGTAGATGTGTGAAGTGAGGAAAGTGCGCATGTGCAACAGCAGCAGCGCAGCAGAAGCATTAGACACACGCATACACATTTCGCATTTTTTTTTTTTTGTTTGAAATTTCAGTTTTTTATTTTTAATATAAAAATTTGTATAGGAAAAGGGAAAGAAAAAAGAATAAAAATGCATAATGTACAACTTTTCTTTTTTTCTCACAAATCAATAACAAATAATAAATATAATAATCATAGCGTAAGTAATCCCATCACAATAAATTTCCATTACACAGTTTCTCATTCAAGGTGTTAGTAGAGTAGTTGGAAAAAAGTAACCATAAAAATAGATAAACAGAAAATAGCATTTAAATGTGTTTGCAAGTAATAGATATCAAGCGCTTCCAAAAAAAAATTGGTCGAATAAAATCTCGGAAAATCTTGTGAAAAAATGAATTATTAAAAAAAAAATGTTTTTTCCATATTTAGAATTAAAAACTTAAAGCTGATTTTTACGATCTTCTAAACTAAAATAAAATTTTGAAAGTAGCAAACTTCATGTTAATTTGGTTTAAACTGAATTTGCGCTATATACTGAATGCATAAATCGTGTATAAAATTTCGAAAAAAAGTAATTTTCAAAGTAATTAAACAATTAATAATAGTACACTTTAAATAAATTGGAGTATGATAGTGAGTACACCTATTTGATTACTTTGAAGCGTAAAATAAAAAAAAAATANAAAGTAATTAAACAATTAATAATAGTACACTTTAAATAAATTGGAGTATGATAGTGAGTACACCTATTTGATTACTTTGAAGCGTAAAATAAAAAAAATTCAAAAATAGGTAAGTACATATAATCCAAATGCCTCTAATTTTAGTCATACTGGCACCAAAACTTAACTAAAGACACAATAAAGCAAACGAAAGTTCGTCCAATAAGTATTTGCTGCATTTTGGGCAAGAAAAAAAGCACCTTTACAAACTTGAAATTAAACTTTCAGCCTCATTGCGTAAGTCGTAAATTAGACTAAATTGTACGACTCAACATTGGCACTGCCTACTGTCGTGCTGAAATAAGTAGATGACAAAAGTTGTCCAGTGCTGCCAAGTTTTCCCGTTTTGATATAAATCGACACTCGAAATACGAATTGAACTCGACACGACGCTCACATTGAGAATGTTTGCTTTATCAGCTGCCAAAGAAAATTATATTCAATGAATACGAATTTTTTCGATACTTATTGGACGAAACGTTAATATTTATGCATAAGTGAGTTAGTATTTATATTGTATAAGTATTGGTTATTGTATTTACAGGAGTCGTACTTCTTTAAATTATTTTTAAGAAAAGTTGTTTTTGGTTATGAAAACTATACCTCTTCTCTATGTAGCTTTAACCGAAAAATTTAATTAAACAGATATTGCTCCCAATGAAATTTGGAAAATAATGTATACTGAGGGCCTAACAGATACGAATTTATTCGCTTATTCGTTAAGTAGAAAGGATTTCGCTCAGTTTTTTCTTTTATCTAACGGAAGGAATGAGGGAAGGTATAAAATCGTCGACGAGGTGAGTCTTGAGATCATTCTCTGGCATCAACATAGTTACTGATTTTAAAGCTAAGTAAATCCTTAAAACGGCTACTGATTTTAAAGCTAAGTAAATCCTTAAAACGGCTTCTGCTAAGAATTGCGTTAAGCTCGTCTTACAGCAGGCTAGGGCTGGGAACTTCATCCGGATAAACCGAATATTCGGATGCCTAATAAAATTATTTTGTTACGACAGTCGGAACAACACAGATTCATATATCTGGCCAAAGACTGCCAGTCCATCATCACTCCCCAAAAACTCTTTGGGGAATTTAAATGCTGTTACAACAACAATAATCCTTTGCAACCCAAGATATGGCAATGCCTTCCGTCCCTATTTGCTTGTCTGAGAAGGTGATTAGTTGCATATAAAGTCTTTAGTTGGACTTAGAGCCCCACGTAATGTCCGTTTAAAGATAGGTTTGTTGTTTAAAATTTGATTGCAGGCATTTTTGAATCTTATATGCAAGTTCACGGTATTTATTTGTTTAAATACTCATTTAGATAAAAAAAAACCAAGAGACAGCTACAAATATATTTTAAAAATAATATGCAATCTTATTCTCGCTCAGATTTGCTTTGATGTATACTCCCTATGGTACGAAAATTTATATAACTACAAATCCATATGTATGTATGTATTAATGCATTATTAATACCATGATAAAAACATAGCAAGGTATAACCGTTCTCTCAATTTGTCGGCCATGATTTTTTTTTGAAGTTTGCCAACATTTTAAAATCATATAAAAGTGAAAATAAAAAATTGAAATTGTTCGAAATTGTTGTTGCTTGAGATTGAAAATGAAAATGTGTGTGTGAGTTTGTGAGTAAATTTAAAAATTAAATTGTTTGGAAACGTCAAGAATCTTAAAAGTGACTCTCAGCGGTTCTACCTTACTATATTTTTATCATGATTAATACTGACATTATAAAGTTATTTTTTATGATTCTGTTTGTTGTGATGTACGTAATAGTGACAAAGAGGTTGTTTGTTGTTTATCAGATGTGTTTCGGGTAGAGAATGAATGACATGAATGGAACAAAAACTATTAAGAAGCCAAAAAAGTATAGACCTTTTCTCTACAAATTTTGTAAACACTGAGATTTTATTGAGTTTCGAATAAACAAAAATTAAAAGGAACAAATAACAATAACCGAGATGTATAATTATTGAAATAGAGAACAGAATAAACGCAAAGAACTGCAAAACAAAAATCGGACACACACACAAATATTTTCAAAGAGGTAAATATATATATTATTTAGATTATAACAATGCAGAATTAATACTGAATTGGTGCTAATTCACTGTTCGAAAATATTTATGTTTTCCAAGTTTGGGCACGTGAGATGATGCAACAGATTGTTTGACAGTAAAACTTGTGATTTAGTTACAAAAAATGAGATTTAAAGTAAAAATTTATTTTAGCAAAACAAAAATAATATTTCTTATCCTTTAATTGATTTATGTTGAAGTTTTTCTAATTAACAATATGTTGGATAATCCCCTCAATTTTGTGTTGCGTGTTCTTACAACAACATGAACTGATAACAGGAAACACATTATTAATTAAAAACAAATTAGCAAATACATAATTATAGTTCAATATTAACCTAAAAATAGGTAAAAATAAGCATATAAAACAATTCAAATAAACGGTTAGGAAATTGCTTTTTTTAATGCATTCTCGCCACACATACTCATAACGAACAAACAAAATAAACAAATAACTAACGGGTTTTAAAAAAATTATTAACAAAATTTTATTTAATTGATTTTGCAAACATACGTTTTTCGTTTTCTGTTGTAAACATATTTATTTTTAATTGTTTTTAACGTTTGTATAAAAATAGATTTAGAAAAATAAGAAAAAAAGACGAATTAAAAGTGAACGTGGAGATCATTTTTTTTTAATGATAGACATACATATGTAGTAAATTAAGTTAGTTTCTTAAAGGCCGAACATAAAATAATAAGTAATAATTATTATAATTGAGCACATTTAAAAGAAAAAACTAAAGAATAAAACAATCAAATTTTTAATCAAATAAAATTTAATAAAAATTAATAAAATTTAAACAAATTGTATTTAAAAAAAAAAAACTGAATTAAATTACATCTTAAAAATTAAATCAAATTCAAAAATTAAATCTTATTTAAATAAAAAATTTATTTAATAAAAATAAATTTTCAAACGTTAGAAAATTTTAACACTTAAATAAAATAAATGAATTTTATAAAACACGTCAAATGAAACCAACTTAAAAAAATTAAATATATAGAAAAATTTAATTAGTAAATTCCACAAAAAATAAAAAAAAAACACTAGGGTCACCAATTTAAGCAAGCCAAAATAATATTCCGATTGCTTTTGCCGTTTAAAATAAAAATAAAATAAATTTATAATAATAAAATATAAAACGTAAAATAAAATTAATTAATCATAACCTCCAAAAAATTCATGAAATCCCATCTCAAAAATAAACCGCTAATTCACCAAATTAATGAAAGATAAAATAATTTTTTTTTTACAAATGTATGCGTTTTCCCGTTTTTTTTTTTTGTTAAAACCCCTTACTCCCATACATTTTTTTAATGTTGCAAAGTACTAATAAAATGCCAAACAAATACGAAAAGTTTATGAAGTAAGTGAAACAAACCTCTTGTCCTTCCTGCTATGGAGAAAAATTCGATAAAACAGAGAAATATACGAAAGTTTGCATTACAAAAATAGTTTTGATTTTTTTTTTACTTAATTTTATTATAGTTTTTGATATATATATTTTTTATTTTTATTTATTTACGCAGCTTAAAATGTGTAACTTTGTGTGCGTTAGTTGTAACGTATTATTTACATACATTGAAAGCGAATTGGGAGGAGGGAGGACGTGGAGTTATGTATATAGGAGGAAAATGAATTTAAAAAAAAAATTAATTAGATTTTTTCTAATTTATATGAAAAAAAGTTCAAGTGATTACTTTAGAGGTTCTCTCTTCAATAAAAAGAAATATAAAAGAAAAGAAATTTAAAAATAAAACATAAAAACAAACATAAAGCACATGAGGTTACTTATGTAGTTACTGGGAATCATGAACACGTCTGTTACAAAAAAACGATTCTATACTGGATAAGCAACATTAAGGTGGGTAGCTAGCTAGTCTTCAGCTGCTTTTTTTTCAAGTGAATACCAGCGAAATAGTTCCTTTTCTATTTGCCGTTCATTCTTTTTTATCAGCTAAATTTTTTTATAGTCGTCGGTGTATCGATACAATTTTTATAAACATACAAATATCGATATATTATGATTACTATAACCGATATCATCATTGATAGACATGTAGGTATTTTATGGGCACTGAGTCGCACAAAACTTTCGAATCATGAACTACTAAAGTCTATATTCTATTTGAGAATTATTGGGGAAAATTCTAGCCATGTAATCAATTTGGGTGTTCACAGTTTATTCCATGATACAAAAAAGAAGGTAGTTTCATTACTACTATTTTTTGATTATAAAGCAGATTTTTGACATTTCTTCAGATGTAAACATTAAGCATAGCTTTGCCACATTGAAATTTTTTGAGAGGTGAGATTTTCTTTTAAATACATATTTGGTATTTAATAAAAGAGTAAAATGTGCATAAAAAATTGGAAGTTGATGTGTTCTATAGTCAAATTTGAACGTTGTTCTCAATCGTTTAAAAGATCCTTTGAATAATATCGCTGTGCAGAGATGAAGAAATAAAATAAAATGCAGTTTTGAAACATTTATTTATTAAAAAGGTTTTTTCATTTCATTTTAAACAAAATGAATAAATTTACATAGCAAATCTCTTTTTTTCTAATAGTCCGAAGAAGATGTATTGATAGATATTTCGTCATAAAAGCATAGTCCGGAACAGGCTTCGGAGAAGGTTGTATGGCCTCATTGCCTCACATTAAAGGAGTCACAATTCAGAATTCTCCCGAAGTGAAGTATCTCGAAGTAATTCAAGATACAAAACTGTCGTGTAAATCTAACGTGGAACACAAAACCTCTAAAGAATTGGCAGCATTTTCGCAATGTAAGCAGGTCTTTGGCAAAACGTGGGGTGTGTCACCATAGGGTATCCTCTGGATTTATACCTCTATGCTCAGACCCATAATTAGTTATGCGTCAGTGGTATGGTGGACCAGATTCTCAATCAAGAGCGTGGGAAGTCTGCTTGCTAAACTTCAAAGAACTACTGCCGTGTACTGTACGGAAGCTTTCTGTACAACACGTAGGGATGCAAATTTTGAGCAGTAACATCGATACATCGATGTTTCGATGCATCGGAGAAGAGAACAACGAGGCTAAAATACATCGCCAGAGATACATCGATATATCGATGGTTTCCGATGTTTTGCAATTTGTTAATTTCTAGTTAAATTTAAAGCAATATTGAATACTTTAATTATCCTTTCTATACCCTTTCTATTATTAGAATCAAAATGCATACCATCGTAAGTTCGTTCGGGCCTAAAGATCCTAGGCCTGATCTTGTTGAAATTCTAAAGGGTTTTTGGTTCTGTTTTAACGGCTAGGTTATTAGCATTCAGAATGAATCCAACAATTTTATTGAGCTTAGGGCCGCTTTTTATGAAAAATGTTGTGGAAAAGCAACAATAATTTACAAAGGTAAGAAGTTATAGCTGCTCTTTGGGAGATCACCACATCTACTAATCACAACCGCGGTCACTGAGGAGAAGTGGTGATCTCCGAAATAGCAGCTATAACTTCTATCGTTTGTAAATTTTGTTGATTTTCAATAACATTTTTCATAAAAAAACGGCTGAATATAATTGTTATAAGGCCATAAATAACAAAAAAAAATCTGAATGAATAATAAATTGAAGGTCAGTCAAACACACCGAAAGAAGAAGGGAGTCTCCTTAAAGTCGATGTTTAAAACATCGGTAAAACTTCCATCTATGTATCGTCAATTTCGCGATGTTAGTAAATTGTAAACATCGATGGTAAACATAGAAAATTGAATCGATATTATCGATGTTTCAAAAATCTAACGTGGAACATGCAGACTAAAAAGAAACGGATGCTGGTATAACACTGAGTGGGGCAAGGCGGAAATTGCTAGCGGCAGAAATTTGAGCACTTGTGTCTTTTCAATGCCACAAGATAGTACGCCACCTTTACCTTTGTTGAAGAGATTCTATAATGTTTAGTTCCCTGAGGCTGAATGCTGGTTTAATACCAGCACTGAGCCCGGAATCACACATAATCGAATCTTCAATGATGGCTCCAAAACTGACTGTCTCTGGGCTTTTCTCTGGGGAAGTATGCTTCGGTCTTCCAGGCTAAGGTATTTTCAGTGACAGGTAAACTGCACTTAAGGCATTGGACATCCCTCTAACTACTTACTTCCAAACTCTGGGTGCCAGTTCAACCGGCAGTACCTCCTATCGTCCATAACAATAATATATATCATAGCATGAAGCACCGAAATTAAAGCCTTGAAAAGCACATCCAAATCCTTTTCGGTGACTGGCTTTAGAATAAAATTATTTAATAATACTAATTTTTGCGATCGACAACATATTTCAAAGAAAAAGTTGGTTGGTTGCTCTTCAAATATGGTGATGTATGAATTTCAATTTTCGTTATTGCTCAGATCGAAGGCAAATTTCCTTTTAATTTTGTAAATATTTTTTTTTTTTACAATAAATAAATGATTATTGAGGCTTAGGTATGGCAGCACGAAATGTCACAATCTGCTTAATTGTCAGGTAGCTAATATGGCGCCCGAGAAGTGACAATGAAACTACCAAGGCGTATTTAACAAGGTGGTGTTGGCCGTATATAAGTAAAAAATTACACTAACAAATTATACGCTGATGTCCATACTGTCATTGGTATGAGTTACAACAAACACATCATTTTGACGTAATGGCCTCCACGGCGAAAAACTCAGCTGTCGCCCCAACACCACCTTGTTTAATACACCTTGGAAACTACCTTCTTTTTGTATCATGGTTTATTCCAAAATGGATTACAAATGGATTTGTTGTAGTAAGAATTATATTTTTATACAAAATTTGCGAAAAGAAATTCGAATAAAAAACTGTTCACATGTACATTGCGAAAAATTCTCTGTGGTAATACTTTTGCTCGTCACTGTATATACATATGTATGTATGAGGCCTCATGCATAAAAAGTGAGCTTAAGCTGGGACTCAGTTTTTGCACTTATGAAGTGAGCTCCAGCTCAAGAATTTGTACTGAAAATCGAGTCGGAGTTTAAGCTCACTTTTCATGCATGACGCCCAATGTGTTTGAAAATATCTGGGAAAACAATACCTGAAATGATTGTACCATAGGCTAAGTGCATAAAACAAAATTCACAGAGAGAATTAAAAATGAATCCAGAGTATATCTATGAAAAACATTGAAATATCTGGAATGCGCGTAATGGGAGGGCCCTATTTTGAAGGATTCAAAAAATATATTTTGACCACTAATTAATCGGTGTTTTTATACTTAGCAAACGTACGCAAATGTGAAACCCCATACCATGTTCAGAATAAGGTCGTTCACTTAATGGAGGATTATAGCTTCGAAAGGTTTTTCATAAGCCGTCCGAAAATAAAAGCTTTGCGTGACATACGAATGAAACAACGCGGAAGAAGCGTAGTGACTCGGAGATAAAATTTAAACGAAACACAAACACCTAGTACATCTGTAATCCACACAAAGTAGAATTTCGTATCTGGTATTTATTTTAATAAGAACAAAATATTTTTCGGTTTTATCACTTTAAAAGTCAGCCGAAAAATAGCTAGCCACCGTCGATGCGTTTAAGCGAATTACATAAATGCAATATACGAATACATATACTCATTCAATGTACATCATGACAAATGTACATATGTATGTATAGTATAGTACATACCTACATGAAATGTATAAAAAACAATTATCTTTGCTTAATCATATAAAACAACTTACCTCATCACCATTCTCTTGTGCCACTTGCTTCTCAGGATAAACGCCAGCGCGTAGGAATGAAGCCTTCCACGATTCAACATCTTCAACGGTCTCACAAGACAGCTCAAGTTGTTTATAATCCTAAGCGTGTAAGGAGAGGGAGCGGGGGAGGCAAAAAAACCAAAAAATTTATTAGTTTGTATTAAATTTTTTGGCTCATAAGCAACGCGAAAAGCAAATTATAAATAACGAAAATCGAAATGAGCAACAGGATTGGTAGAAAATAATTCAAAACAAATATTTTTGCTTTCAGGAAGTCGTGGTGGGGTGAGCAAGTATTTGAAAACAAAATAGGGCAACAGTAAAAATTTGGTGTGTGGTGAAAATAAATTATGGAAAAAATCGTTTAGCAAGTGGCTACTTACGAAGAGCTAATGCGAGTATTTATCTATTTTCGTAAAAAAAAAACAATTTTTCATACAAAATATGCAACTGCGGGCAATGGCAAACTTTCCAAAGGCACTGTGAACCAATATTTTTGCTTGGTTTTTTTAACTGCTTTGAAATTGATGCCACGCCATGGCATATTTTAAATGAAAATTTGTTGCTGGGAAAAATGTTGATAAAAACATAGTAATTTTTATCAAATACAAAAAAATTTAAACGCCGTTTTACCAAACAGTCTGTTGCCACACAGGGTTGCAATTTTTCGATTTTTTTTTTTTTAGTTTTGTCCACGCAAGAGCGTAGAGAGCACACTTACATACATACTCAACTCAACGAACTGAACTGAACTTGAAAAACGGGTGTGTGTAAGAAAGAGAGGCAAACATACGTATAGTAATATACATACATACAATATTAAAGAGGGCGGGAAAATGAAAATAAAATATTCGTTTTTTCTCTTTTAAGAATTGTAAGCAACTTAATGGATTTGAAATAATATATTGAGTTCTGTAAATTAATTGGACATCTCATTTGATTAAGCGGATAGTGATACGCTACATATTATAGAATTTTTTTTTATTAGTCTTATAAAATTTTTTTTAAGTCATTTTAGAAAATTCTACCCAAAAATTTTTACCAGAAAACGTAAACCGAGTTTTTAAAATTTACTTTCATTAAGAATTTACTTTGATAAAATTTTTTGCAAAAAAAAATCAAATAAATATTCACAAAAATAAATCAATTTTCAAAAAAAAAAATATTTCACAAAAAAATTGCACAAAAGAAATCACAAAAAAATCAAATAGTTCACAAAAACATAAAACATTACAAGAAAATTAAAAAAGTACCAAATACAATTATGTGTTTAATTTTTCTCAAACAAACATTTTTATATAAAATTCAGTTAACAATTAAAAAAAACTATGTATTGGTGCAACTTTACATAATATACCCGTTTTACTGGATAGTAAGTCAATAAATGAGCCGTTTATATTGAAAGTGGCATAAGTCGTTTCCACGTAATATGCTTAAGTGTTTGGTTAACTCTAACTAAATGCATCGGTAAATCATTATACATACCGTCATAAACTAATGACAAAACTTTTTACTTTTGGCTGATGAAGTTAAACGAATGACAGACGCATTCGAATACTGCTAAATTATCACTGAAGTCAAGCGGCGTGAAATGACTTATACCACTTTCAAAATAAACGGATCAAATATCTGCCTTTTCTGTACCAGGATTCTTTTGGGTCAAACGGTACTATTGCATAATTTTTGCCGACATTTTATAACACTTCTGTATAGCGCAGCACTATCTCACTATCAAAAGAAGCACAAATTTCCAAAGAACTAGTGAGTTGATTTTTCTTTGTTTCCACTATAAAAGCAACATTTGAAAAAGTATTCTAAAAACATCATGCGACATCGATTTAAGCGCGACTTTTTTATGCATTTTTTTAAGTTGTTCTTGCTGTATTATTTGTTGCATTTTCTGTTTCTGTGGTTGTTTTTGTTTTCTCGATTTTTTTAATCTTTTCAATTTCTGTTTTGTAGGTGGTCTTGGTTATACGTTGTAAAATTTTTTTGTACTTTACAAAAATTACTAACCTTATAAACATTACGTCCATCTGGACTGAATAAAGCAAATGTGACACGTCTTGACATTGACATGAAGCCCTGTTCAATATCGCGTAATTTCAAACCATCCAACGGCAACATAAATTTCTTCTCCTTCTCATCCTCATCCTTGTACCAGGAAATACTCTCCGATGTCAGGACAAACCAATAGGGACGCGAACCGCCTGCAATGTTGTTTTCGTTGTTGTTGTTTTTTTGTGTCGGTGTAGCGAAAAAAAGTAGTAAGTATTGCACAAGGTTGTACGAGAGAGGAAGGCATTATATGTATGCACAGGGTGATTGCAGGCGGGAAGTGGAAGGTGTTTGGAAGTGTGTTTTTAATTTTGTTTCGATTGTGTAGTTTTAATTTTTTTGTTGTAAGTTGTAAGTGTGGGGGTGTCAATGCCATTTGCCCAAGGATTTTTAAGTTACGGTTTGCCGTGCAGTCGATTAGAGTTGTAGTACAGTTGACAGTTAGCGCACAGTGACGGTCATTTTCCATTTTTTGGCGTTATTTCATTTAATTTTTTATGAATTGTGTGTAGAAATTTTGTTGTTAATTATTAAGATGAGAAGCGTAAGAAGAATTGGCGAATAAACAGCAATTGTACGATGAGGAAATGCAGATATAGCAATAAGACGTGCATGGAATGAGACAAAAAAGAAGAAAATTTCGAAAAAAATTATTATTAACATATTTTTTTTTTATAGATTTATTGTATTGAACGCTCATGAGCATGAAATATGATTATTTATACAAGTAATAATATAATAATTTACAATGCCTACTTAAAAAATACGATATTTTACATAATGTACAGATAAATATATTTTATACCTGAGACTTTCTAAACTAACCTATAGTCATTAAGAGGATAATTACATTATTTACAGATATTTAACAAGAAAAAAAAAGAATTTAAACGGAAACACATTCATAACTAGCTTTGAAGGCAGGAAAAAGATAACTATAGGATAAAGAAGAAAAACGCGGTATGAAAGATGATTGATGAGATTGTGAGAGAGGAAGGAAGTTTGTAGCAGTAGATTTAAGAACAAAAAAATAGTGATAGAGGAAATAGTGGTCCTAAGCACTCATTGCATTTAGCGGTTGTGAAACAAGCTTGAGGAAAAATAGAGTAATTGAGCAGATAAGAAAGGAATGATAGCAAGGGTAATGCGAAAGCTAAGGAAGAAAGTATAGGGGAGAAAAAAAATGGATGAAATGGATGGTGATGGATGAAAAAACCAGGACTTGAGTTGACTTGGCATTTACTATTAGCTTCTGATAGGGCAGAAGATATACGACTGGCGTGCTTTATTGAACTTGGCTTAAATCGCTTAGGCGGTTACAGCGCCAAACAGCAGCCAGAAGAGGAAGTTATTAAAACGAACCATTCGGGGCTGGAAGAGAATTTTTAAACGAGTATGAAACGAAAAAGAGTAAGGAATGAAAAGTAAAACTTAAGTGAAAAATAAGTGCAATAGAAAAACAAAAAACGGAGAAACAAGCAAGCGACATTAAGCTGCTACTTTAATAATTTTGTTTTTTCAACTATTTGCAAATTTATAACGACCTTTTTTTTAAAAACTTTTAGGTTATCTTATAAACTCTCGCCAGTTTGTTCACACATTTAAAAGTATTTGTAAATGTTTAAGCGGCTTCCTTCACTGCATACAATCAAAAACTATACGCATGCGCAATTAACGAAGTAATGTTTTTTTCAGATTTTTTTTTTTAAGAGAAAAATTTGTTTTTATGAAAAAAATAATTCTTATATTTAAAAAAAACGTCAAAAGGCAAAAAATTGTTATGATATATGTACGAACAATATTTTTTTTATACAGTTCAAATTCAATAAAAATTTGTTTATACAATTTAAAAATCAGTGCTTTTTAATTACAAATACGTATGTAAGTATGTACTCGTGTTCTATATTTTATTTATTATACATAAGTTGCCTTAATAATTGCTTGGTGGTGTGAATGAGTGGTTGCAACACAAATGCAAACATTTAAAACAAAGTAAACAATTGAAAATAATTTTAAAAAAGTATCGAGCATTATACAAACCAAGAAATTGTGGTAAAAATCGCTTCAATGCTACAAAAATGAATAAAGAAAATCATAAACATAGGAGAAGGAAAGACAGAAAATTAAAATGAACATAGAACACTACATACATACACAAATAACGTAATGTTAAGAACATGCAATTTAATTAGAAAAAGACGAACACACTTTAGCAACAAAAAAAAATATAAGTAAGAGTTACTCTTACAAGTAAAAATGAATTAAATAATATTTCTTTTTTAGAAGTATATACTAATTCTAAGCATGAAAAAGAGACTGCAGAAAAAATGAAGTGGATACAAAATGTTTAATTTTTACTACTAAAACACAGCAAAAAACTGAGAAATGTTTTTAAAGAAACAAAAACAAATTGAATAAAATAGTGCCGTTTGAAAGCACTAATAAATATGTAAACATTCATTGATGAGAGAATTTTTGAAAAGTTGTCCCAAAAAAGGTATACATACGTAGCTCCGACAGTTCTCAAACTTATACGCATTAATAAATCAAAAATAAAATAGCGTAAAAGGAGCGAAGAAGGCGTTACATAGTTAGTATAAATGATTTCAAAAAATCTAAAATCCGTGTTGTTGATTTTTAGGTTATAGCTGCGCTACAAAGTAGTAATTATTAGTATTATAATACAATTTATGGTGAAAATTAGATGACATTTTTTGGGCTAAAAAGAAATTGAGGATGATAATCGTAACTGAATTTTATAATTAATTTAGTAGCAGCGGTAAATTTTTGACAAAGTTACTGGAATATTTAGTACTAAGTTAAAGAAAAAACACTTATTGGTTTGCAACTTAGTACGAAATTTAATACTAAGTATTTTGATAAAAGTTAGTAAAAAATTAGTACTAAAATATTCTATGAAAATTAAGAACACAAAGTTTAAAATAAAAATATAAAAGTAGTTTTTTTTTTAATTTAGTGCTAAAGTAACTCAGTTAAAATGAGTAAAAAATGTGTGTTATATTTAACTTATAATTAATAAACAATATAACTTGATGAGGGATCATTTTTCGTGCGAAATTTAGTCCCAATCTTTAGTATAAATTTTAGCACTTAACTTAATATAAGCGCTTAAATAACAAACGCCACGCACGTATTTAGAAATGAATGTATATTAATGAATTTTATAGATGTTTTCATATACAATTAACTAACAGCATTCGTTAAAAAACTCAACCTACATAACTGCGCAGAAAAGCCCACGAATATCAAAGCACCCAAACCAAACGCAACACACCATAAATATGTAGTCTTATAACTTCTACCATACTACTCTTTACATACAACAGTAATTCACTATTAATTGACGCTTAAGGACTTTTCATAAACATATTAACTAAAAGTACGCTTAAAATATTTACACTAAATTTAATATAAAAAAAAAAAACTTAAACTGTAACAGATTCAGTACGCACCTTTCATAATGCCCAAATTTTGTATGACCATATAGCCTTTGCGTATAACCTGATTGCCCAGCTGGCGTGTGCCAGTCTTATTGGAATTTTCAGATTTATTCTGAGCACTAAAAAGTATAAAGCAAAAATAGAAAACAAATTTCTGGTTGTTTTTAAAGTGCAAAAAGAAAAAACATTTACGCACTTTGCAAAGCCAATGAAATCCTCGTGATTGGTATTCATGTAGGCCAATTCGAAATCGATGAGTAACAGAATTTGTTCCTTACAGTACTGTTCACGCTGGCGTATATGTGTAGTGATGATGCGTTCGGTTTCCTCACGCAAGCGTGGATAGCGTGACATCTAAAAGGGAAGAGGAGTAAATGAATATGCAAGCTACAGCAAAATGTAAGCTAGCATAATACCTTATCTGTGCACATGCGCACCACAACGGACAACTCTTGTACGACTAGATCGACACACTTTATGACCGGCTCCTTTAGTTGTGCAATTTGACGTTTGACAATCGCCTCGAAGGCCATATCAGGTGTGAAAAGGCCCACACGAATACCATGTATATTACGAATGGCGAATGAGATTTCGCGACGCAACTCCTTTTCATCACAAGCCATTTTAACAATTTCAAAACGTAAGCTTAAAATTAAAGGAAATAGTTTGTGAGAGCGATTATGTCAAGAACACATCATTTTTATAATAAAAAAAGCAATTCAATACAATCCTTGTTAAATGCAAATCGCTTCTTTTTACGCGAGTACTATGAACAGCGCTGAGAAGGCAGCAGGCGCCTGTCGACATATTCATCGATATTTCACAGTAGATATTTTATTACCATGGTATTTATCTGTACCATTGGCACTTTATTTATGGCCGACATATTTATAAATTTTTATTCGACATAATTTTGCATACCTACATATTCATCAGTATTGTTATCGGCAAATTTATCGGTATAATTGTCGAAATATTTATTGATAGTTATTTATCGGCTTCATTGTCGATTTTTTTTAATCAGAATTGCCAATTTTTAAATAAAGATTAGCCCCCGAATTAATAAATAAAATTTTCCTTTTCGCAGTTGTGATAAATTATCTTTAGTCTTCTACAACGTAACTCTAAACGCTTACCGTTCATGGAAAATTCTATTGATTTTAGCACCACCTGATAGCTCATTTGTATTGACCAATGCTGAGCCGGAACCTTCAATGGTGCGTTCAAAATCTGACTGCAATTGTTGAATCATTCTGCATGTAAAAATGAAAAGCGCACATTAGCAATTTAGCTCCACACTTCCCTATAAAACTACACTCTACTTATAGCGCAAACTTACTGCAACATCGCCTTCGTCTTAATGCTGGGATCGTCGGGTCTGAAATGCTTGAACTGTTCCACATCCTTTTCCAACGTCAACATTTGTTTTTGCAATTTATCACGTAAGCCGGGAAGTGTATCACGGATATGATTGGTCAACTGTTGATTGAGTACACGCTGTAGATATGGTGTACCCAAACGATCGGCCATATGCCGATATGATGGATGACTAAGGAAGAATTTGCGTTCAGCTGCCAACGCCTGATGGATATCCTTACGACCTTCAATATCTTTTTGCGAACGATTTACAACACCAATGTAGCCCCGTCGCAGCGGCAATAACTTATTCTCTAAAATATCGCGCGCATCTGTACCCTCGTCCATCAGATCGAGTTTAGTGATCACACCGATCGTGCGCACACCCTGTGGATCTACCTCTTTGGCCAATTTCAAGGCATCCGAATTGGCTAAATCCGTATTGGCTGGCGTTACAGCCAAAATGAGACAAGTTTCTTTGCGTATAAATTGAAAGATCATGCCTTTGATTTGCTGTTCAATATCAACTGGCTGATCACCGATCGCCACCTTGGTTAGACCAGGCAAATCGATAAGTGTCAAATTGAGTACGTGTGGTGAGTAGACACGCAAATTAATTGGAATATTGGATATGCCCTTATTGCTGCCAGTCACACGATCCGTCTCATCTTCGATCTCTTTGCGGATCTCATCGAAACTGGTGAATTTTTTGCCCTTGCAATGCAAAAATTCGCCATGCTCTGTGGAAGTAAAAGATATTAAGATAAAATATTGAATTTAGAGAACAATTGAAGGTTAGTAAGGTGAGTATAACTTACCAGTAACACCGTTAATAAGTTGCAAGATCAATGGTCGACGTGTTACGATGCCCGAACCACGAGGCAGAAAATCTCTGTGAAGAAAAAAATTTACGAAATAAACACTCAGTAAAATATATATTTTTTAATACATTAAAAATAGGCCCGAAATTCTGTTTAGGGCTTTTGCTGTGCTCCATAGGTAATCAAGCTTTTAGTCGCTTAAACTCGTAGTTACACGAAGGTGTTGGACATAAACTACAGTCTAACTAACTCCCCACGTATCGAAGTGGGACATACTTAGGAAAATCACTCAAAAAGTTGAATACCAAATATTGGCTGCAATCCTTATATGTGGTATTAAGTAGTTAATTATCTTTAACCTGCTGGAACTGGAAAAACACGTGGTTGACATTTTTTGAACGTATATCAGGTGTCCCTAAACATTGTATGAAACGAGTCCTTACGGGAACATTTAATATTTCTACGCACAGCAGTTAATCATTTAACAAGTTTTCGACATGAAAGTTTCAGAATCGCAGATCATTTTCCATTAAAAAGGAAAAACATCTTGGCTGTCGACTTACCTGGGCGTGTCTGGCCCCAGTATCAGCCGCTTCATAACTGCGGCCAAAACAAGAATCTTCCACAGCAGTCGAAACAGTAAGTGGGCGGATCGGCACAGAAAAGGGAAACACAGTTTTTTGGGATGTGCCTGGCATAATTCATTCAAAAAGCTTTCGAAACCTAAATAACTGGCTCGGTAGAAAGAGATGTGTATCCAAATTGGCAAATTTTATTTTTTAAAGTGAAAAGTAATCCGACTATAGTTACCTGGGATATTGGAAAATCTGGGAACAACTAGCATTGCTTTGTTACGAACTC